ATTTGCAATGCAATGATGCTAGGCCATTTGCACCGGATCGCGAATAGCCCTATAGTAAGGTAGAACCGCTGAGAGTCTCTTTTAAAATTCATGACGTTTCCAAACAATTTAATTTTTAAATTTACTCACAAACTCACACACACATTTTCATTTTTAATCTCAAGCAACAACAATTTCGAACAATTTCAATTTTTTATTTTCACTTTTATATGATTTTAAAATGTTGGCAAACTTCAAAAAAAAATCATGGCCGACAAATTGAGAGAACGGTTCTACCTTGCTATGTTTTTATCATGGGTAGGTAGGACAAAGTTTTTATTTGTTTTTATAGGCTTCGTGGATTTAATATTTGCAAGTGTAAGTAAAACTAAATTTTCTCCACTTCATCCCCAACTTTTCGCTAAAAATCCTTAGCTTCATCGAGGGCAAAACCTTTATAAACAACCAACAACAAATCACTTATAAACAATTAGCAAACATGGTAAACATATGTAAATCATTTAAAATGTAGCAAAAATAGTATTTGAACTAATATTGTTTTTGTTATACTATATATGAAATGATTTACTTATGTTTACCATGTTTGCTAATTGTTTATATGTTATTCGTTGTTGGTTTTTAATAAACGTTTTTGCCCTTGATTTAGCGAAAGTTGGGGATAAAGTTAGTTAGTTAAATTTAGCGAAAAGTTGGGTATGAAGTGGACAAAATTTAGTTTTACTAGCACTTGCAAATATTAGATCCACGGAGCCTATATAAACAAACATGATTTAAGCGACCAAGATCAGCACAGTATGGCAAAATTTTTATTCACCAGCCGACATATCACGCAAGGACAATACATCAGCATGGAACGAGAAGCAATGTTGTGTTACTCGAGCACAATATCCACCTGATACATATTGCTACTTGGGCATCATCAATTTTTCTTTCCAAATACTGTAGCCTTTGCTCATTTAATCCTGGACCTTGGACGTTGGGGACACCCATACTTGACTTAACAAGTGACTTAATTTTAGACCATATTGTCTCTACTGGGTTCAGCATGGGCGAATATGGTCCCAAATTAAGCACACTTGCCTGCCCATTCGAATGCCAGATTCAATCCTGGAATGATAAGGCGCATTATCACATAATAATAACTAAGTCACTCCAGTTGTTTCCAGAATCACGCCACTACTGTAAAATGTTACCAATCCAGCGATTACATGAATCAGTATTAAAAGAACATCGTTTTCGATCCAGGCTTACAACTGATGAACCCGACATAGCCCCAATCAGATGGATGTTTGCGCCACGAGTAGCTGGCAACAGTGTTGCCAGAACTTTTTAGGGCGACCGTCATGTTTGTATTACTTAAATATAAAAACAGAGATAAATTACAAACTTATGCCGTTTTCTTTTCTATTAAACAATTTTGCCTTCTTATAAATATTGGATCATTTTCAGTAGGTTGCTTTTTGTCCCGCAAAATGGCTATATTAGCTGAGAGTATGGCACTTTTGCTTAGTCGGAGGGCAATATTTTGAGAAATGAACACGTAAAGCTGTGAAAGCAGAAGGTAGTTTAATTTATTGACATTCGTTGTTGTTGCCGACCACTTCACTTTTAACAAGTTTATGACATTTAACTAAAATCATGCCACCAGATTCACTAGCAGAAAAATTTTTGTTTCTTAAAAAAGTAGAAAAAAAAAGTAAGTGCGCCTGGGCCACACGGTAGAAGTGAAACTTACGTTACTATCTATCTATACATACACACATCTGCTTTTGCTTAAGGTTATATTTTTTCGCTTTTTTTCTAGCAATTTAGATCCCTTCCTCTACCACTGTTCGTTTTAATAACATTCATGCTATTCTGTTTTTACATTATCTTCATTTTTATCATTATACTCTATCGATAACAAAATCGATTATAACGTCCATCAAAATACCGATACCAAAATCGATGACAAATTCGATAAAAATTTCAATAGCGACATCGATAATACCATTGGTAGCTAAATCGATTAGAAAATCTGTAAAAATATCGATAACAAAATCGATAAATATCGATAACAAAATCGATAAATATCGATAACAAATTCGATAAATATCAATAAAAAAATCGATAAATATCGATAACAAAATCGATAACAAACCCAAAACCAAAAATAGTTCCCAGATTGGGTCTCTGTGTATCTCTCTACATCCTTTCCTCTTTAATTACCTCTATTTTAATCTTTCTTCCCCTATCTTCATCTTTGCTTTTATCGGTATCCCCATCCTCCTCTTTGTCTTTACTTTTTGTTCATCATTTTTTTAGCTACATATTCCCCTTCACATTTGTTCTTATATATATAAGTAAAGTGTTTAGATTTACCTTGGTCTTCATATTTGCATTTATCTTTACGCATCTTTGTTTTTGTTGTTATTTTTACCTTTGCCTTTATCCTTTTCATCATTTATGTACGTAGTCACCTTTACTTTCATTCTTGTATTGGTCTTTTTCTAAGTGTTATTCTTTAACCTTTTGTTAGCAAATTTTTGTTAAATTTATACCATATGCATACACATAAGAAGCACCTGTTTCAGCCCCAACCATTTCCGTTGCACCATTTCCGTTGCATCATTTCTATTGCATCATTTCCGTTGCATATACACAAGAAGTACTTGTTTCAGCCCCAATCATTTCCGTTGCACCATTTCCGTTGCATCACTTCCGTTGCATCATTTCCGTCCCAACCAGATCCGTGTGCAATTTCCGCTGAATTTGCCAATTTACTTCCAACCAACCAACCGCCGCTAAAGAAGTTTCACTTCAAAAATTTGAAGTTGTGAAGTTCGATGAAAATATTAAAAGTGTTGCGCGTTTCCAAACTGCCAGTATTCGGTACACCTGAGCAAACGTTCGAATATAAAGTTTTTTGCTTTTCCGAGGTAGGGTACGTAGGTTGATAACAAATTGCTGACGCGAAATATCTTTAAACCTATGAAAGATGTACCACTATCCGTGGGACAGAAAAGAGGTCGAGTTAAAATGATGCCTGCAGCTTGTAACAGTACCAATTTTTGGATTCTCGGAATTTTCTGATAAAGATGTGGTGCTGCTAAAAATCTATATACAAAAATATAAGCACGAAACTATGTATTTGTCACAAGAATTATCCACATAAGATGAAAACTACTGCAGTTTTATTTTATAAAATTTAAAAAGTATGTTTGCACCATGTATTGTCTTCCCAGAGAGTTTTGCTCCACATCGAAATTCGTGCTCTTTTATTTTCTAAGTGTAGCGAATAAAACTTCACACTTAAATTTACATTTTATTAAGAAAATTCCCGCTACGTTCTCCCAAATATAAACTGGGACGCAAAATTGAAGCAAGTTTTGCCTATTTTTCTTTAGTTTATTTAATATTTATTATTTTTTATGAACATGTAGCTCATTACTTAACAAACAACATATACTACAAACAGATTTCACACTTGGTGTAAAAATTATGAAAATTCTGCAAAATTTCAGCAAAACTTGTAACTTTTTAATCTGCTAAAATGACGCGTCCCAGTTTATGTATATTTGGGTCATTCGCTTAAAAGAAAAAACATTGAAATCGGCTCACTATCTGATTGTTTTTCAATTTTATATAACACAGTCCGACATGAAAATTTTCTCAGCGATAAGACTAGTCATTTCTAATAGATTTTGGAACACTAAATTTGTAAAAATAAAAACTTGTATATTTGAGTTTTAATAAAATAAGGCGAAGAGCCAAATCGGCTAAAAACGGCTACTTTTTTTTCAAAACGGCTAACAAATCGGCTGCCGGCTAAATCGAATTTTTTTCCGGCTGTTTGCTGTCGCAACCGGCTAAATCTAGCCGGAAAACGGCTAAAATGGCAACGCTGCTGGCAATAACTGACCCGCACGATTGCCTTTTTTCGAACGACCACGCGTATGTCGACAAAACAAATGGAAATTTGTTTCGTCAATGAAAACAAGCTGTTCCCGGTTTGTATGTATGTGTTGAGTTGGGTTACATATTCTACTCTTTTGTTTTTGTTTTGTTTGTTTGATGATTTATGTTATTGTGTTTTTGTTTTGTTGTGAGTTAAGTGTGCATGGTTGTATGTGAACTTGTTTAACAGTGTACGTTTTTCCTTAGAGGTAGTTATTAATGGTAGACAATGATAGCGTTATATTAAAATTACTAAAAATTTTCGCCTGTATTTGCCGGAAGGTAAGACTGCACTCCTCCTCAATCCAACGGAGTATTTCATCAATCTGCTCGTTTCCTAGCTTGGTAGGTTTTTTTTACCTCCCATTGGATGTTTTGTAGTTCTGCCACTCGCCACCCAGGTAAAAGCAGTTTTATAGGCTATACCAAGCGATGCCGCTAATGCTGGCCAATCCTCCCCCCGATTCGCAACAGTAACAATTCTCTCCCGATCTTTGGAAGTGTACCTCTTGTATTTCATTCTTTCTATATCCTCGATGCCTAATAAAAAGATAAAACATATTTACATAAATTTATGTGTAGGTTTTTTCACATATGTATATACATATTTATGTACATAAATAATAACTTAACATAATACTTACTATTAATTTCAGATCGGCAAATTGCACATAGCCTGGGCACGGCTGATAACAAGCTTTCTATGCATTTTTTATGGAACAAATGTCTACAGGGTATTGTGCGGCATACGACTTTATAAAACATTGTCGTTAGACATATGGCACAGTTATCTTTACCTTGTTTATACCGACACATTAAGCGCTGTGACTCAGTTCGGTGTGATTCAAAACAGATGCATAAACAAAATTTCAATTCGCGTTGAAATTGAAAAGTGTATTGACTCGAATTTGTTTTAAAATCGGTTTTTTATTTCTCACATCAGTTAGAAAACCCGTATAAACGAATAATTCATTTAACACGAAATCAAAATTGACTGTTTTTTTCTTCTTTATACAGCCTGTTTTTAATTGTATTTATTATTATAATAAATTTGTATTTCTGTTTGCTACCATTTCGGGCCACAGCGCAAATTTATTATTAAACAAATGCCGAATGAAACTAACGGAGTTTGTTTACTTTTTAGCACGGTTATATCGAGTGCACTATAAAGGCTGAGGAATAAACCCTGCCAGCTACGGCTCACCACTTTCCCCTGAAATTCAAACGATTTACAAACACATTCACAACTTTTTAGTCATCTCACCCACACACTTACAAATTTTTTGTTCGAACTGTCAAAACAATGTCCCTTTGTTAAAGTTACATACCCGATAAGAATTCGTACTCTAATAAGAATTCTATGCGTCAGAGCGAGCAAGTTAGAAACATCGGAGTTTTGACGACAGTATACATACTGTGAAGAAATGTCACTTTGCGAAAATTTTGAAGGTAAGAATACGTATTTAACAATTTTATTTGATTATAATGTAATTTCTTCTTTTAGATTGCAAAACAGCAGCGGGTTAGTCACATTCTTAAGGTATATATTGAGACTTTTTATATGTTTATAAATTTTAATTGAAATTTTTGTTTGTTTACAGATTTGGGATTCACCATCAGAACCTTCTGCCCTCAGCTTCATCGTCGCCAGGAGCACCACTAGTACCTTCTGCCCTCAGCTCCTTCATCGCCAGGAGCACCTTCAAAGTGTAGTTCAAACTTGTAAAATTTGGCAAAGTTGTAAGAAAACTTAGTTTTTGTGAACCACCATAAATGATTTGCAACTGTTAATATATATCAGAAGAAAGGTAAACCGATTACCTTTCTTTTGATTATAACACCATTAAAATCGCTTTACGTTTTCATAACAATTTTGCAAGTTTTGTAAACAACTATATGTAAGCAGTGAAAAAGTGGTCAAATTTTGCAAAGTTATATGAAAAGTGAATTTTTGTAAACCACTTAAATATTTTTTAACTACTAATATATATCAAAAGAAGGTAAATCGATTACCTTTCTTTTGTTTATAATATTGTTAAAATCGATTAACTAATTTATAGAAATTTTGCAACTTTTGAAAAGATCTATATGTAAGCAGTGGAAACTTAATCAAATTTTGCAAAGTTGTAAGAAAAGTGAATTTTTCTAAACCCCTTAAAATATTTTTTAACTACTATTACATATCAAAACAAAGGTAAAGCGATTACCATTCTTTTGATGATAATATTGTTAAAATCGATTAACTATTTTATGGAAATTTTGCAACTTTTGAAAAGATCAATATGTAAGCAGTGGAAAAGTAGTAAAATTTTGCAAAGTTGTAAGAAAAGTGAATTTTTGTAAACCACTTAAAATATTTTTTAACTACTACACCTTTTTCAGTTTTAGTTCAGAAAGCTGCAAGTTAAATTCAGAAAGTTATAATTCGAGTTCAGAATTTGCATTTAAAATTCAGAATTTCCATTTCAAATTCAGAAAATAACAATTCATATTCAGAATTTCTACTTCAAATTCAGAAAATTACAATTCAAATTCAGAATTTCCAGTTCAAATTCAGAAAGTTATAATTCATATTCAGAATTTCCATTTTAAATTCAGAAAGTTGCAATTTAAATTCAGAAAGTTACAATTCATATTCAGAATTTCCATTTCAAATTCTGAAACTTTCATTTCAAATTCAGAAAGTTACAATTGAAGTTCAGAAATTTCCAATTCAAATTTAGAAATTTACAATTTAAGTTCAGAAAATATCAAATTAAATTCAGAAAACTTTTTATTTTAAATTTGCATTGGAGGAAAAAGTCTTCCCAAACAACGAGAGTCAGTTTAACCAAGGACCGTAACGGCTATGATATTTGTGATAAAAATCATAATTAAATTTTCATAATTGGACTTGTATTTTTACAAGTTTTAATTTAACTTGCTCTGTATGTATTTAGGGGCAAATTTTGCAATCAATTTTTAACCAACTTCCCGATGACCTAGAGACTTGAAACTTCACGGTTGGCTCAGAACCCGATGACAATGAAATACAAAATGTGAGTTAATCCGATTGGTGGCGCAGGAGCCGAGATATTTGAAAAAGCCGTATTTATAGAACGTTATCTATCTATAAAGAGAAATAACTCCACGAAAAATTTTGCGGTTACGTTTGGTAAACGAGTATTTATGGTCCGACCACCGTGGTTTTATTGTGTTAAATTGTAAAATATATGATTTATAAAAAGAATTAATAGCGAAAATCTTAAAAAACGGCGATTTTTGTGATGATATTAGCAAATGCATTAGGCATCTAAAGTTTCTAAGGCGTTGTTTACTTTTACTTGAGAATTTTCAAATTCGGCAAATCTCAAGTAGCGGCTGGAACGTGGAATAAAATTGAATTGAAAACTTTGTGACACAGTCGCTTCTAAAAATTCTTTACATCGCACAGTGAATATACATTTTCTGAACTTAAATTAGAAATTTCTGAACTTCAATTATAACTTTCTGAATTTGAAATGAAAGTTTCTGAATTTGAAATGGAAATTCTGAATACCAATTGTAACTTTCTGAACTTAAATTGTAAACTTCTGAATTAAAAATGGAAATTCTGAATATGAAATGTAAATTTCTGAATTTGAACCTGAAATTCTGAATTTGAGTTGTAATTTTCCGAATTTGAAATGGAAATTCTGAACTTGAATTGTAATTTTCTGAATTTGAAATGGAAATTCTGAATTTGAAATAGAATTTCTTAACTTGAATTGTAACTATGTGAATTTAAAGTGGAATTTCTGAATATGAATTGCAGCTTCGATTACCATTCTTTTGATGATAATATTTTATAGAAATTTTGCAACTTTCGAAAACCTCTATATGTAAGAAGTGAAAAAGTCGTCAAATTTTGCCAAGTTGTAACAAAACCGAATTTTTGTGAACTAGTGTAAATGATTTGCAACTGTTAATATATATCAAAAAAAGGTAAATCGATTACCTTTCTTTTGATTATAATATTGTTAAAATCGCTTAACTTTTTTATAGAAATTTTGCAACATTTGAATACAGCTATATGCAAAGGAGTAGTAGTAATAATAATCAATTAAGCAAACAGATATGTATGTAAAATTATCTTTATTATTCTTGTTAATTATAATTTTTATTCCTAGTATTGATTTCTTACTATGTATATTCGGTTAACAATGCATTTTGAAAAATAAATTTTGCAAAATAACAATCAAGAAAATTTTAAGATTTTTTATTTAAAGTTTCTAAGGTTATTTTGAATTCGCTGTGAAGAAAATGCAACTCTGCGCCGGCTGAAGTGGGCAATGCTAGACGAGTGCGGCTATATGTTTTCCTTACGAAGTATCTGAATGAGTGCGACAGTGATGCAAGGCTCACACGTACAAGGGGAAACTGGTGAAAATCTGCACACCGCCCATACAATCACTAGATTTTTCACCAGTTTTGAAGTGAATGAAACCCTGAATATGAATTGTAACTTTCCGAATTTAAACTGCAAATTTCTGAATTTGAACTGGAAATTCTGAATTTGAATTGTAACTTTCTGGTTTTGAAATGGAAATTCTGAATTTGAATTGTAATTTTCTGAATTTGAAATGGAAATTCTGATTTTGAATTGTAATTTTCTGAATTTGAAATGGAAATTCTGAATTTGAAATGGAATTTCTGAACTTGAATAGTAACTATCTGAATTTTAAATGGGATTCCTGAGTATGAACTGCAACCTTCTGAACTAAAACTGAAAAAGGTGTAGATATACGATTGAAGACTAAAGTAATTTCAGCAAACCCAAACAACGTATTTCAATCAGTCCGATACTGAGTAGTATCGATACTTTTAGTGTATCGATACCATGAGCTCGATGTCAGAATAAGTACTCAGTATCGATACCAAAGTCTGAATTTCGAACCCTAGCCAGAACTCCTCCTATGTAGGAATGTTCGATATTTAAGAAAGTATCGATATCATGAATCGATTTAATTCATTGCATGTAAAATCGATATGGCGATATATCCTGCGGAACAATATCGATATCGGAAAAATCGATGTTGAAAATCCTACTCCCAATCAGTGTCCAGATTTGGTGATTTCGCGCCAATTAGTCGATTTTTTTGGATATTTGCGCGTAAAAATTTAGGAAATCGCCATTGGCGATTTTTGGCGATTTTTTCCCCGTCAAATACATTTTTTCCAATTATAAAAATATACAAAACTGAGTTTTCCAAGATAATTTTACAGAAGAGGCTAATGCAATGCGTAATAAAATTGACTTAAGAAGCATATTAAAAGACTGTCAAAAATGTTTAATCACCCTTATCATCGAATTTTTTTGAAGCGATTACCTAGTCAATTAAATACTTTTAAAAAGCTTTGATTCTGTCACGATAAAAGTGTGTGAATCACAAGAGGGCGAGTTTCAGGGACCTGCCAATTTACTATTTGACTTTGAAACCAAGAAAAGCGGCGGAAACTGAATATTTAATGCTTTTAACTTTCCCATGGAATAACTCTTCTCAGAACTATTCCACCAGACTCTGAAGAATTTTAGATAATTGATAATAAAATGTGTGAAAATATAAGTTAATTCATATTATTATCCTTTCCGCACTCTCATGCTCTGTTGAGCGCGTTTTTTCCGTAATGAATTCAACATAAACTAAGATTCGAAATAGGATGAGGTTGGAAAGCCTTAATTCAATAGTTCGAATAAAGTGTTATATAAAGGCTGCTGAAAAACATTTCCAATATCAAACAGTACGTTATCACGGTTGAATAGTTCAATATATGACAACAGAAAAGTAAATAATTCAGACACTACAGGTGATTTTGAAAAAATTGTGGAAATAGCTGATCTCGCCTTATTATAGGTTTTTATTTAACTTTTAGTAATTTTTTAATAATTGCGCAGTCCTATTGCAAAATGTGTGGAAACAAATACTTTTAAAAAGTATGTGTATTTTTAAAGAAAATTGTTTGTACATCACTATTATATAAGCGATAATAATAAATATTACTCTTTTAAGGTATTATATTCGTTTTTGGTTTTAATACTATATTATAACACAATCTCATTTTTAAAATAAAATATTTGTTAAATCGATTTCATAAATTTTATTAAAAAAAAATTGGCGATTTTTGGCGATTTTTTTCCAGAAATTGCGCTTTTTATTTAAACAATCTGGATACCCTGCTCCCAATTGAATAGAATATTAGACCTGCTTACCATTTCAACTAATTGTGTTACAGTGAAACCCGCTTAAGTAACCAACATTTTTGTACACCGTGAATTTTTGATGTAATCTGAAGAAAATCCCTCTCTTAAGTACCTTCCCACTTAGTTGCCCATCCCGCCTAAGTACCTAAATTTTTCGTACCCCATTTCCCATTTTACTTGTAACTTTCCCATTTTAAGTGCTCGTTTAAGATTCCTGAAAATACTTACATACATATTCTGAAATTCAGTGGCAGCGCTAAAGACCTTCGGAAAAAAAATCAACGGTAATTTTTAGCCACTTGAAACTTGCACATTGTTAGATTAAAATTGAAAGGGCAGTAAAACTTTATACTCAAAAAAAATCTTCTGGGTAAAAAGTTTGAAATTTTGATAAATTTTTTTAAGTGTTCTACAAAATCTTAAGCTTAGGTTTATATACTTTTTAAAGAATGTAATTCTTATAAAACTTACATACCGTTGCTTTATCTATTTTTTTTTACAATTTTCTTTATTTGTTTATCTGTTTAGATAGTGCTACGATTTTGGTTTTAAACTACGTATACTTCATTAAATGTTCATGTTTTTTATCAAGGATTTACATATTTATGCAAGTTATCAAGAAGATGTATCTACACCAATAATTATGTTCGCTTAAGTACCCGCATCGAGGTACTTAAGCGGGTTCTTTTA